CTTTTCAATATTCAGAAAAGAGTACAAAATACAAGATTCAGCTCACCTAGGGTTACAGACATGACATATATCTAACCCTATAGTAAAATATATAATTACGTAAATTACCCATGTGACAAACCGCAGGGTGTTGCCCCTGCACCCCCAACCCACATAATGAAACTCCTCCGATTGGACAGATCCTTCCGCCCCACTCCGCTCCAGCATCTGTCCCATTTGTGGTACATGAGTCATACCTAACAAATCTCCACCTTGGTGAATATCCAGTCCCTTAGGAGAAATGCATATACCCAACAAATCTCCACCTTGACGTACATCCAGCCCCTTAGGAGAAATATATCATGGAGTTTCTTATTCACCAATATGTGTTGGCCCACCACGCTTCCGCTGCGCCCTCACTGTTCCCAACCCACTAAATTCCAAAAGACCCATTTTCAATTCCAAGAGACATCTCTTCATTTCAAAATTTTAATATTACGAGTCATACCTAATGTTATTTTCTTCAAAACCTAATCAATATATGTAGGAAACATTGGATGCTGTGATCTGAAAATAATAATAATGAATTGCTGTAATGCAGGAGTGATGGCTCAATTATTTGGAGATGGTCAGGACCAGGACGAAAGCTCTGCCATCTTCTAATATGTAAATATAAACATATGATGTTTAGTAGAGCACAAAAAGATATGTAACAGTTTAACTGAAATAGGGGTTTGGTAGGCTAATTTCAGCCTTTAAATTATTGCCTCAGCTGCTCCCAATAATGTAGGGATCACGACAACATATTTTATGGCTTGTACAGTTGAACTTTCGTACAATCATTTTATGTAAGCAAAGATGTCACCAAGTTTTTATGTATTTACATATTTAACGATTTTTTTGTGTTTACTTTTGAATCCTGATTTGTCCCTGAATCACACCTAAATAATAGTTTAAGTAAGAAGAGAGAGACAACGAGAGAGAATGAGCGGTGATGAATAGTGATCAATCATGTATTATTGTTAAAATGATTTTTTTTATTATAGAGGAAAGTGTATATAATGATGATATTACTTCTTGGCCGCTGTTTTAAAGGGATTCGTACTGAGATATTTTATGATATTTTACGTGTATGAGCTTGTCACCAGACTAATTTATGGCTAGACTGAATAAGTTTAAATAGCTTAAAGGTCATTCAGACTGGGTAGATTGTTCATGCTGGGTTGGTCGTCCAGGCTGGGTTGTCACGTCTAGGTTAGATCAGTCGTCTAGGCTATGTCGGTTGTCCAAATCTCTGATCTTTTTGAAAAGAAACTACAAAAATAATAAGAGAATTATAAAAAAGGAAACTAACAATGCTTGTCTCTTAGGAATGGGTGGTAATTTTGGAAGATGTTCAAAAGGCAAGTGGCTAAATGGGGTTGTCTTAGGAATGGGTGGTAATTTTGGAAGATGTTCAAGTGGCTAAATGGGGTTGAAAAAAAAAAATATGGATTGAATTTGAGTTGATATTGCTTAACCTAAGTCTGACACCACCTACGTCTTAGTCGCTCGATTAGGCCGTTGTCTTGGATGGATTGCATCTCACGTCATACATGTTAAGTGGATCTTGTCGTAGTCTTTGCGAGAGTAACCATCTGCTGGGATGATTCATACGCTACCCGCCGCGGATCTCGTCGCTAATGGGCATGAAATCTTATCGCCATAGCTTGAACTATTCTGAGGTATGAGACATGGGTTCTTATGATACATGATTATTGTCGGTTGGACACTTGAGTAGTGTCCAAAAAATATAGACCACTTCCCTTTTACTTTATTGAAACTTGCTCGTGAGGGTCAACTTCCCCAAGTGTTTGTCGCAAACTCATTATATGCATATTTATGAAAAAAACTTGATGACAAAGTAATGCCTTGTGAGGATCTCCTGTTGGTTGAGTGATGCTAGGTTATCAGGCATATAATGAATCACCGTAATCCAATAAGTAGCTCGCTTCCTAACATGGAGAGCCAGAGGAATGATTTGAACTTCTTGTAACATGGTTATCTCTTGATTTCTAATAAGGAGCCTCTAGGGCGTTTTTCGGTTGATTGTCATTATTGAAGTTTTGAGTTTAATTCAGGCCTAGTCCACAGAAGTGTTGATTGCCAGCTTTGATAGGCCTTATTATGGTAGTTGGTTTGCATGCTGATCTGCCATGTCTTGAGCTAAAGGGTTCGAAGTTGGATCATTTGAACGTCTCGAGTCTTGTTGGCTTTGGCTCGGATGGTTGCATCCGATTGGTTAGATGTGTAAATATATTAAAATTGGATGGTATTCATGTAAATCATCTAACATTTTATGGTTTCCTAATAACTTATCTGCAGGATATAAAATACATGCTCCTGTTGAATTAACATAATAAGATAAAAATGGTTAAATAAAAAAAAATCTAAATATTTTTTTTGGATATTTTAAATAATGTCTGACATTTATATTAAAATTATTATCTCGTCCATTATATTTAAATTATTGTCGCTACATGTAAAAATGAGATGTCATGTCTGTGATTTGCTGTCATTTCTTGTTTTAAAAATGTAAAAACCCTAAATTTTTATTTCATTTTTTGGCCCAAAATCGAAATTGATCCGAATAAAAATAACAATAAAAAAAATTTATGCATCTTTATAATAAAAGATTTACATACATACCACTAGGGGAGGCTCAGCTCGTGTTCGGCTCGTTTATATTTCGAGCTCAAAAAGTGTGTTCGTGTTCGGTTCGTTTGCTTAGCGAGCCGAACACGAGCCGTTCACGAACAAAGAGTCATTTAGACAACCCTAATCAGGTAGTTATAAGATGTTAAGGATTGGGAAAATATTTAAAACATTATTTGAATCTAACTTAATAATTTTTATTCTATTTTATTCATTAATACTTTTAATTGATTATAAATCTTTGTAGCCTTGTAGTCAATTAATTTTTTTAAAAATATTAGTCATCAAAGTTTTTTATATATATATATATATATTGATTAGTAGTATTTCGAGCCAAAACGAGCCGAACACGAACGAATGAATATTGGTTCGTGTTCGTAAAAATTATTTTTGTTCAGCTTGTTAACTTAACGAACAAGCCAAACACAAGCTCTAAATGAGCAGAACACGAGCTATTCGCGAACAACAAGCCGTTTTGACAGCCCTACATACCACAAACTTTTCTTGTATTTACAGATCTAATTTAATTTTTATATTTATAACACTTTCCTATACCAAAAAAGATGCATCTCACTATTGAAATGTTGGTTATAGTAGCTTCTTTATTTCTAATGTGATATTAGAAAATTGAGTATTAAAAATATAAAAATCAAAGTTTAGTTTTTAGATAGGTATATGGGAATTATATTGTATGAGAGTAAATGTTTTTTTTGTAAGATAATTTAAACAAACCACACAATTCTTTTGTATTTATATATCTAGCACCCAAAGTTTCATATTTACATTTACAACCCTTTGGTTTCATAAGGTTATGCATGAAAAGAAGTATTTCACATGTTATGTTAAAGAATGGAGTTGCATGGATTTAAACATGAATCTTTGTGCTAGATAGGGCTGTCAAAAAGGCTCGTTGTTTGCGAACAGCTCGTGCTCGGCTCGTTAAGAAGCTCGTGTTTGACTCGTTAATTTCGTTCAATAAGTTAACGAGCCGAACATGAACTAAGATGTGTTCGGCTCGTTTTTTATATATATATATATATATATATATCTAATTGACTACAAGGCTACTAAGATTTATAATCAATTAAAATATTGATTAAGAAAATAGAATAAAAATTATTAAATTAGATTCAAATGATTTTTTAGTATAAATAATAATTTTTTAAATATTGCTCAAACTCTTATTGTCTTATGACTACATGACTAGGGTTGTTAAAAGGACTCTTTGTTCGTGAACAGCTCGTGTTCGGCTTATTAAGCAAATGAGCCGAACACGAACACACTTTTTTAGCTCGAAATATAAGAGAGCCGAACACGAGCGAGCATCTCGTTTACACCCCTAGTGCTAGATATGTAAATATATAAGAATTGTGTGGTACATATGTAAATACCATTTTTTTTGGGGGCAAAATAAGTGTTCAAAACTAATACTTCAACATTTTGTAATCTTACTTATTCAAAGAAATATCCCTTTACTACCATGATGTAAAACGCAAAAGATACATTGATTGGTCATCACATCCTCATCCTCCCTTTACTAAGCTATAGGACAAAATACATGCCACCACAAATTATTTCTTTCACATGTGATAATTTATCCTCATTTTGCAATATTTTTGTCTTGTTTCCTCTTTATCTGCATTCTTTACATGCACACCACACAATTCTTATGTATTTACATGTCTAAACTTTCATATTTACGTGCATATCATGCAGATCTTTAACATCACCATCACTGTCTTCTAAAAAGCGAAATACACATTTTCACGCACATAACCATGACACGAATGTTATAGATATAAATATAAGATTTTGGGTGTTATAGCGATGTAAAAACATAAAAGTTTACATGTCTAAACTTTCATATTTACGTGCATATCGTACAGATCTTTAACATCACCATCACTGTCTTCTCAAAAGCGAAATACACATTTTCACTCATATAACCATGACACGAGTGTTATAAATATAAATATAAGTTTTAGAGATGTAAAAACATAAAATTTCTATGGTATATATGTAAATTTTACTGAATATTGAATAATCAGCATGTGGCAACAGCTGCATCAGATCTATAAATGACATCTTTGAACAGTTCAGCAACACAGAACAGCAGCCAAAGCTGGCCTTATGTCAAGCTGGAAGCAACGAAGAATATATATATAAACAGCTCAAAGCAAAAGAAATCTTTTGTACGCAAACTTGAGTCTTTTTTTATTGCTCTTCTCATTCAAGGCATGCAAATCCATCTCATTTCAGTCAAAGGTGCACATGCCAAGTGTTAGAACAATTATGAAGAGACAAAATGACATGGAAAAAGCAAAAAATATCAAGATTCAAGAAAAAAAAATCTAAGAGCAGAAAATCAAAGCTCACATAATTTATATAATAACCACTCGCCTGATCACGCACGCACGCACGCAACGCACACACGTGTCTGCATATTGGCGTGTGCGCGCGAAATAATAAGGATCACACCTCCCATCTGCACCCCTACAAGGATCAATAGTGGGTTCCAGGATTAGGCCCAATCCTAGAACTATCACCACAAAAGCCCCCCAAATACTTTTATAATTTTGATTGACATGTATGTTGTGCCACGCAAATTTTTATCCAAATTCAATACGTGAATGTCACAAATTATAGCACCAAGGGGTGTTTTGTTTGTGGAAAAAATAATGCAGAATACAAGTAATATATTGTATTTGGAATACTTTGGAGGAGTTTGATTCGGTATAAAATAAATGTTGGATTTCATAGTTTTTTTTTTGTTTGATTTGAAGTAAAATGAATATAATATAAAATTTGAAGTCGACAACAGAGGCGAGCGAAGGGCGGCCAGTGGCGGCAACGAGCAAATGGTCGGTAGCAAGTGGGCAAGCCAGCGGATTATAGGTGGGGGGCGAATGCTAAAAGATAGGGATCTGGGAGCTGCGAGTCGGGAGCCGGCAGGCGGTGATTGAAGGCAAATGACTGATGGAAGACAACAACAATGCTGCGGCGGGTGGTGATGATGGAGAGCGGGCAGTGGTTGATAACGGTCGGCGGGCAATGGCCGATGACAACATCGGCAGGCGTTGGCTAGCAGCCAGACTAGAGACCCGTGGTGGGTTGGCAGCAGGAGAGATGAAGGTGGTGAGAGGCCTGTGACAGGCGAGGAGGGTAAGTGGTGGTCGGTGACGACAGTTGCAGGTGATAACGAGGGGTGGCGAGCAAAGGGCAATGACGGTGGTGGCAAATAGTCTGGAGGCAAGCAGCGGGCCATGAATGACAGACAACGGGCAGACGGCGGTGGCTAGCAACACTTTAGACGAAGCAATGTATTTCAGAATTCAACCAAATCCAACGAATTCCAAATAAATTAAAAATGAACTGACGAATAAATTCCAAATGCATTGCAAATTTCCAATGTATTTGGAATTTTTCCAAACAAACACCTAGATTTTCAAAACCCTGCAAAAGGAATGCAGTATACTCTTTCTACGGCAGACCAAATAGCTCCATCGTTTTTCTGCAGCTTGCATTCTCATAGGCAGTACAACATATGCATATACAATCGTAGAAGATCCCTGTGCGGAAGCACAATAAGAAGGTAAAGTTGAAACAAAGCCTGGGAAAACTTTTAGATACAATTGATCAACTTAATGAATGCAATCTTATTCATACATTAAAGAGAAATAATGTTACAAACAATAAAGATAAAGTTTTCAGGATAATTTCAACGATACATACATAAATTAAAAAAAATAAATTAAAAAGATGGAACATGTACAGAAGCAGAACAGTAAGGTTACATTACATGTCTATTAGACTAAGTTCAAGCTTTGGCCGGTGAGCCTGAGGTTCCACAACCTCCAGGTGAATTCTCACAGTCTGCAAGGGACGGTAGCTCATATTTGTGCTAGTCTTTGTCACTGTCTGATGCGCCTCGTCTACAATCCACTCTCCCCCTTTATCTCCTTTTGATGTCAAGTGAACAGGCCCTTCAATGCCAAATCTGGAAAACAAAGATAACAAAAAAGTTTAGTGTAAATTCTAAATATAAATTATAATTATATTGCTCATATTATTTTTATGTGTAGTTGCCTATCTATAGGCACCTATTTGATGGAGAATAAAAGTATAAGATTTTTCTCTCGATAGTCTCAACATCGTATCAGATCTAGATTAGCTTAGCCATCACAACATTTCTCATCTCACAACAATCTCTGCCTGCTTCCCCTCCACCACTTGGTCCTTTAAGATTCTCCTCTTTGCTTATGCGCTTGCCTGCTCTACTCACCACTCTTGCGCTCATCTCTACTATTCTCACTCCCAAGCAATGCACCCCTCCTCTCTGCTTCTCAATAATTCACAACTTCACTCATAGTCTCCCACTAGGGGTGTGAGTCAAGCCGACTCGAGCTCAAATAGATAAGCAGCTCGTGAATTGAGCTCAATGAGCTAACAAGCCAATCTCAAGATAGCCCCGACTCGACTAGTTGGCTCGTGAGCCGACTTTTAAAAAATATTAATAGAAAATTTGAAGATTTTATTTTTAAAAGTATTAAAAATATTTTTTTTAAAAAAATTTGTCTATATATTAAGTAATTTCTTATTCTTTCTTCTAATGCTCATTTTATTTATCATTTTATTATACCACAACCTTAAATTAATATTGTTTTCTTTCTTTTTTATTATTAAACAAGTCGGATCATGAGTCGGCTTGAACTCGTTGACTTGAGCGCGAGCCAAGCTTGAACTCGATAAAATTAATCAAGCCCGAGCTCAAACTGAGGGTGGCTCGAGCTTGATTCGACCTGTTTATGCCCCTATCTTCCATAGTATAATTTGCCCAATGTCGCCCCAAGTACAAACTCTCACATTCTCCTTGTAACCTTTAGCTCTTCTCACAAGACCGCTGACCATCTCTCCTATGCACATCCCATCTGTTCATTGACAATAACTCTCGATCAAACAATGTGCTTGCCTTTCCAACCCTTCCACTAGCATGCATTTATAATCTTCTCTTCAAACTTGATGAGCCCCTTGCCTCATCTAGTAGCACTCCGTTGACTCGATCATGCGTTGTTGCTTTATGAATCATCAACTATTTACTAGGTTTCTCTTCTTTAATGTGAAGTGTTCATTGATAACTACCTTTATAACGATACTTGTCGATGGTTGTTGACAGACCCCCCCTCTCTCCTATCTCTCTTACCAGACTTTATCAAACCCCCGTTTATAATGATGGTTGTTGACGGATCCCCCTCTCCTATCTCTAGAAAGACATATCATTTTTTTCTCAATAACTTCAGATAACTGACTTAAATGTTCCCAAATTTTCAATTAACTTGATATCTATTAACCACCTTACAAAATCCTAATAGTGTTTCATAGTATCTTCTCCATTTGAATGATTTTTAAGAATCTCAGTATGAAGACAGCATTGTTGGCGGTGTTGAAACTAGAGGCATGTATTATTTTTCTAGAACTACAAATCTCTTTTCTCTACTCTCTCTCTCTCTCTCTCTCCATACCAGGGCATAGCTTCTCGGATATCCTCCTCACTATCTTCAAAGGTTTACTCAATTTCTTCACTCAATCCCTAAGTTTGAATATGAATCTTATGAGTATGGTAAACACTGTCGTGCCTCCTTACCTATTTCAACATCAACTCATACAACTCCCTTTGTTTAAGTACATTCAAACATACGAGGTCTTGTACGTATAATATGGGGGTTTTTTTTTTGGTCATATTAAAGTTACTTGGGTATAGTTAAATTGTTGATTTGAAATCTTTGATGTCTTCAAAAAGTTTTCCCAAAAAATAAATATTTAAATTCTCTACTTAATTTAAATTTATCCAATTGGATATGCCTTAGAATATATGCAACCTACCTTTCGCTTTGTACTAAAAGTTTTACTATACATCCAACCTCTAGCGCTTATACTTCAAATAAAAATTAAAAAGAAAAAAATGAAAACACTAATATATCCTTAGTGTTGCTCGTACTATGATGTCTCACATAAATATTGTATGACAAGTTCAGGGAGAAATTATTCTAGCATTCCACTACTTGACTAATATTATTTTTTTCCATTATTGTGAAGGTGACTACATTGTTTTCTCTTTTTTTTTTCTTGAGAGAAACTACTTTTTTCTTCAACTTGTATTTTTGGCATGTTTTTAATCTACTTTCTTTGTTTTGGGAAGGATAAACTTTATCCTTGTGCTACTAAACATATCTTTCTAGAATAGTCCAAAACTTATAAAGGTCATTGTTGTTCCAATCATCTTTATATCTCTATGCATGTTACCTTTTTCATGTAACATCTCCTTACGATATATCCGCTGCCTCCACTTCAGAATCTCCTTCCAGTATTTCACTTCAAGTAATTGAACTAATGCTTGATCTCGCTCCACTACCAATTTACACACTGCAATCAGGACAACCTTTCTTTAATAAATTCCAACCATTCTTCTATCTAGAGCCAGCATTTGCTTCAAATCTCTGACCATATCTCCATCTGCTATTACAAGTAAACAAAAAAGAGCTTACCACACGATACAATCTTTAATCTCACTTGATTATTCTGTTCTTCTAAAAGGAATACAAAAAGTACGAGCCACCGAATGCAATCTTTAGTCACACTTGATCGTTTATCATCATAGTCTTATAGCTTTGTCTTGTCACTCTCCACTACTTTTAATTCCAAGAAGTGTCAAAGATTACTGTTTGATCTTAACTAAAAACATAAAATGGGATATTAAATGGGATCACTCCTTTTTCGTCACACATGGGATATACTTTCACCATTTGTTAATGTATACACAAATTTCTTTAAGTTGGTGCTCAAGACAATTGACATCTACATCCTACTACTTGATCAATAATGTTTCTTCCATTATTTAGAATAAGAATTCAACATATTTGCTTCTTTTTCAAAGAAGAAACTAATTTTTTATAACCTTTTGTGTTTTTGTGATGTTTTATTTAGTCTGGTCAGTTTATTTTGAGCACTTAAATTTTGCTCACATGCTATTTAATATATCTTTCCTACTAATTTTTGGACTCGGAAAGGTTATAGTTACTATGACCACCCTTCCAATCATTTTTCAGGTTGGCAGGTTAACATGAACCCAACAAAAAATTAAATGGGTAAGGAACTAAACCGAACCCGGAAAAAAAAATTATTTAGGTCAGGCTAAACCCGGATTTTGCGAGTCAAGTTTGGGTCGAGTTGACATTTCGGGTTAATTTTTAACACCCCTAGATTTGTTCATTTCAAACCTGCCCGGTAATTTTTTTAAATTGCCCCAATTTTTTAATTCCATTTAAGAATTATGTGAACCAATCGCAACCATTTTAAGTAGTTCTTTCAATTCAACCAAAACATTGAGCAAAGGTTTTGCAACTTTCTCATTGGATTTAGATTGCATCTCTTTATCCAAAAAGAACCAGAAATATATGAGGATATGATTACTATTGTCTGTGGAATAGGGAAATCATGGTTCTATTCATAAAAAAAGATAAAAAAAAATATGTCAATACAGCGATAAATGTTGTAATATTAGGACTGTTTTGCAGTTATGAAAAAATAAATGCAAACGGGACCGATTTGCAGCAATGCTGCGATGAATGTCACAATAATGGGACCAACTCACAACAATGCAGAATGAAGGCTGCAATAATGAGACCTGTTTTTGGCAATGCAGCTATGAATGATGCAATAATGAAAATGTCTGCAGGAATGTAGCAATGTATACTGCAATTATAATAAAAGTAGGGAAAAAGGACTACAACTATGAAAGCTGCAAGAATATGACAATACACCAACGAAAACTGCACTTACAAGAAAATAATGAAAAAGAAGAGTGCAACAACAAAGAATGCATGATTGTGATAATGAAACGATAAAGACTGTTGTGGGAAAATATAAGAATAAATAAAAAATAAAAACTCGGGCTTTGATACCATGAGAAGAAAAGGATAAAACTAATTAATTTTTTATTAACTTATTTGGGTAGTATTTGCACTATTAGTTATCTAATAAAATATATACAAAATCAAGGAGTAATAATTACAAAATAATTACAATAATTCAAAAATTTATGACACCGCGGAAGAATAATTATAAAGCAATTATAATAGTTCAAATACATATGGGATGACACTAATAATCTGATACAATCCGATCTCAAAATCGGCACGCTTTTCCACAAAAATTAAAGCAAACATAATATTTTTTCAATAAATCAAACAACTCAACAAAAATATAAAGATAAACGCATACAATTCGAGAGGTAGTGATCTCACCCAATTCCTAAAATTTGAGAGGTAATAAATCTCTCCCAAACCCTATACCTCAAACTCACAACTCAATCTAATGCATAAACATAACCCTAGACATAACAAGCCTATTTATAAGTGAGGACAAATAAAATTAAGTTTCTTTCTTTAAAAATGACTTCCCCCCCCCCCCCCCCCCCCCAAAAAAAATAACATCCCTCCCTCGCAAATGTCTCTTTTTCTTCATTCTCTGCCTCCTCGTCATGCGCTATGATAACTTGTAATTTTCAATCATTGCAATGGTGCCCTGAGGTAAACTTTTCATCATACTGAAAACATAAACCCTTTGCTCGTTTCTCCTGAATCTGTCTTTGTAAGGCGCTTGAGTGTTGCTCCCGGTCATGATTCATTGTTTGTGTACCATGCAAGCCCCCTTTGGACTTTCATTGTTTGGCTTTTGATATCTTCGTGGTTATAGCAGTTCGGTACAATGTTTCATCTGTGTTGCTCATGCTGGCCTTCTTAATCTAACTCTTGTCCTCTACCATCTGAGCTAGCTCCATCGTCTATCTCAATCTCTATGGTCTCAATAGTTCGAGTGATGCCCATATGTTGAGCTTTAGGCCTTCCATGAAATATCCCTCCAATCCTACTTCAGAAATCCCCCTCAATCGTCCCAACACGAGGCGTAGAATTACTTGTGTAGGTCTCCTTCCCAAACGCTTTGAAACGGTCCAACAAACAATCCTTGAATTCTTCCCACAAATGGATGCAATATTTAGAGTCCTCCACTGAAACCAGGCTAGAGTTTTTCCTTCCAAACATAACCCTGCCGCATAAGTTTCTACTCCCCATCTAGCTCATTCATTGCGAAGTATTGCTCCGCCTGATACACACAGCCATGTGTGCCTTCCTTTTCCAAAATTGACATCTTCAACTTCATAACTCTAACTTCACCCCAATTTCCCCTTCCTCTATTGTTTCCCCCCATGAATCAAGGGTAAAACTGACTCCTTCAATCGTAGCCATATCCCCTCCCTACTTTCCTTTCTTCTTCGTATTCCTTCATACCTCTTACATAAGCTCTTCTCCATATTTTAGCCCAACCGCCTGAATAAAAAATCTCTAATCCGCCCTCAATTTCGTGATGGTGTATTTTTTCCTCCTCATGTTCCTCATATTTGATCTTTTTTTCATAAGGATTTAGCCAATGAATCTTCGATCAGTATGGTTTGCCAATTGAACCGCTGACGGGGCTTGAATTGCATATCAATAAACTTCTTTATCATCTCTCAAATTTCCTCATGCTCTCAAATCGGTCATTCAATATGTTTTCCATGAAAGAAAACCTATCATTTATGGCGGCGAACCTTTCTTTCATCCCAGATTTGATTTGGTTGATCTCTTCCTCTAATTTCTTCTATAAATCATCTATTTTCTTGGTTGTCATTGCTCACATAAAATTTCGCAAAGGTAAAATTCTTGTACCCTAAAATATGTCGTTAGCTAGGTTAGTTGGCGCGGGTCGGCCAGAAAGAAGCGCCGCGCAATTGGATCATACCTCGTATGATGTTATCACGTATGTTTCCCCCAATCAAATCAGAAGACAGAAGACGAATTGTACTCAGAGATTCGATCAGCTCACAGCAAGCTCAAGTTGAAACTGTATCGTGAATTTAAGAGTCGATCATTCGCATCGAAGCCTTCCCTGTACAGTGTCACGTGTTTTGTCGTTGCTTTCCCAGCAAGCTCAGATTCACAGGGTTTGTTGCTTTCCTTCGTGTTGAATCCTTCTCTGTGCATTGTAGAAGCAAAAAAATGGAGTCTCGGTTCGCGATAAACCGCAATCCTCCCGCGTTGTCTAACATCGCAGACTTCAGTCACTAAGCTTGGGGGGAAAGATCGATTTTTCGGCTCTACGTATGTCGCAATCTCATTGGTTGCCTCTGTGTGTACCCAAATATCCCATCGTCGCGGGCACGCCATATGATACAATATGATTGATATGATCCGTCGGTAAGTTCGCCAAAATCGATCATCCTCACTTCTCTCTTTCAGATCTGCCTCCCATAATCTTGAGCTCTGATACCAATTTAATATGATATGATTCGAAATTGGCATGCATTTCCTAAAAAATTAGGACAAATACAATATTTCTTCAATAAATCAAACAAATCAATAAGAATACAAAGATAAACACCTACAATTCGAGAGGCAGACGATCTCTCCCAATTCCTACCATTCGAGAGATAGAAAAAATCTCCCAAAACCTAGACCTCATATTCAAAGCTCAATCTCATGCAAAAACCTGACCTTAAACACAACAAATCTATTTATACCCAACAAAAATAATAACAAAAGACTAAATTACTCTTAGGCGCACAAAAGGTAGATTTGCCCTTAGGCTGCGCGCCAACTTAACATCATACAATGGGATTATGGAGGTGGAATGAAGTGAATAAAGAAGACAAAGAACTGTTGAGCTCAAAAGAACAATGACAGAGGTAGGACTAAGGGTGGCAGGATTAATGGAAGTGGATTTGATGGAGATTAATTTTTCCACAGTACTAAAAAAACATCATCACTCAAAATGTCTCTAGTGAAGAAAAGTTAATTAGATATTTCTACAATACTCTTGAACCACTTAGATCCTCAAATATTTACAGCAATCAAGATCTCCATGAGATATACAAACCAGCTTGAAGGGGGTGTTATGGCACCAAGTTGAAAAATTAATGAACAGAATATTCTCTCTTTAATTAAGTCATTATCACAATCATTTTTATCTAATATATTAACTTAACTGAGAATATACAATCATTTCTATCTTCCTATTTTATTGTTTATATACAAGCACCACTCAATAAAAAATATTTGAACATATCAATTAAAATAAAATTATTAATGAAAATATTATTCGCCCTTCAATCTCTAAAGGTTAAGCCTACAAAAACATTCAAGCCCCCAACTTGCTTCATCACCATCACATCCTACAAATCTCTGATCTCCACTAACTTCACCAGAGACTCCTTTGTTGCTATTCATTTACCTCGTCGACTATATACCTCATATTCATAGCCCTACATCAACTCACTTCTCATCTAGTTAGATTTTGATGCCTCATTTTTGTTAGATTTTGATGCCTCATTTTTGTTAGATTTTGCCTTCTTTTGCTAATTGGATTTCTGTCTGGGAATATAAATCATATAGTTTTCAACTTAAAATTTTTTTTTTTCAATTTTATATATATATAACTTCAAGCATATATTTTAATTTATGAAAAATTAAAAATTTAAAATTCATGGGGACATATGCTCCATGCCTCTAAACATATGAAACGGCTCACCCCACTCATCTGCCATTTAAAATATTGTTGTTCACCAAATGGTTAACTATTTGCGTGTGAATGTTAGCTTTCAAAACAAAAAAAAAGTACGAGAAAGAAAATAGAACATACTTGGGCACAAAGACTATAAATCCATTGGCCTTTATTTTCACTATTCTGGCTTCTGTATCCGTAGGTCTACAGCAGAAGATAAAGCGAATATTATAAAAACAACATAAAATATAAGAAGGCCATTTTTATAAGCGAAGCGAATATTACCTGTTCCTAAAGTAAATAAGCGTGTGCAATTCAACTGAGGCTCGGCTAGCCATCTGAGCATTTCTATGGCGATAATTCAAATCTGGATATACATTTAGCCATAATTTAGTAACTAAAAGACAACAATAAAATAAAGGGGCATTTACATATACACCACACAATTCTTATGGATTTACAAATTTAACACCTAAACTTTGAATTTTACATTCTTGACACTCAAATCTTTCTCATCACAACAAAAAAAACCACTATTGATGCATGGATAAAGTGGTATTAATGTAAATATCAAAATTGAGGTATTAGATATGTAAATACATAAGAAGAATGATGCATTTATGTAAATCTTCCTAAGAAATAAAACAAAGGCAAATGTAAACTCTTACTGTCTGCAATCTCTGTAAGTTGCGGACCATCTAGAAAAATTGGTGGAAGTTTTGCTATACCGATAGCAGCCGCGAGCAATCTATGAACAATGACATCTACAAAAATAAACAAAAGGACCTTAGCCCAGTCCCATTTTAAACATAAATCTTTCCTGCATTTAGCAGCCATGAGAGAATTTTTAATTGTTGGAGGTGGCACAATTATATAAAAAAAAATTGGACATTTACATACATACCACACAATTATTATATATTTACATGTCTAACACCTAACTTTATAATTACATCTTAAACACTTAAATCATTAACATCCAATCATTTATACCACTATTATTAATTTTTAAAAGTGAAAAACAACAATAATCAACAATTTTATAGATATCTAAATAACTTGCAAACTATACTGATTATTTCATTTGCTTGTTACACTATGGTTTTTCATATGATACTCCCATTGTCTCTTGAAGAATATGAATATCATTAGTATTAAAAGAGCAATTTAGTCAATTGTTAGTTATTATTGTTTGGTCTAAATAGGGCTTAATAGGATTAGGGTTAGGATATGTGATTGTTGTCTAGAAATTTAGGAGTTACGGTTTGACAGAGACTCACCTACCACTCAAATTATAGATCTATCTTTTATGTATTCGGGATTATATTTTATTTTGACACTGGTGGAATGAATATATTATTTCTATCCTAATTTATGCAAAAACTAATCTCTCCCTATCAAACTAGTATTTGAGTCGTACAAGAGAGTGACGCTAACCATGAAGTTTGATGTCTTCGAGAAGAAATTAGAAGGAGAGATGAGCAAATCAGATCGAGAATGGAAGACAGTTTCTTGTCTATGGAGGGATGATTCTAGTTTATGAAAAAAGCGATTCAAAAGAGATAATGAAGAAGATCGTGGAGCTCCATTCAAATCCTCCACTTTCTGTAGCAAGATCGAGCGACGGAACGGGCTCGAGCAACAGCAACCGAAAGGGATCGCACGACATCAAGGTTACACAAGGAGAAACATCACTACCATATATGAATGTGGGGTCGAGGGGATCGAGCGCGGACTCGAGCGACAACCACGGGAAGATATAGCGCGACATCAGGAAACACAGAACGAGCGGAAACAGTTGGATGCCGTGTAATTTGACCCCGGAGAAGACCGATTTGAAGTCTGGAGCAAGCGACAGCACAACTAACAAGAAGGCGACATGTAATATAGTGCTGAAGAAGATCGATTCGAAGGATTATGGTGGGTGGACCCCAACTGAGGGTTGCATCCAACAATGCCTGAGTCTTTTGTTGAGGCAGCCTTTCGGGCAGAAGCTAATTCATAAGCATATTGGGAGGGAAAGACTAATGATGGGGGGAGCAAGACTTATGGAAGAAGGAAAATCAATATGGGCGTGGAAGAGAACCCAACCACCACTTCATGGGTGAAACGAGCTTCGGTCAAGGGAATTGGGGAATAGACTCGTGCATAAGGAAGTTAGAGATGTCAATCTTTGAATAAGATGTATATGGTTGGGTTTATCAAGTGGATAGATACTTTATTATTAATGGGCTGATAGTAGAAGAAAATTGATGACGACAGCCCTGTGTTTGGAAGGGAAGTGTATTAATAGAGAGAACAACGTCAGCCGATCAAAGCAAGGAAAGAATTCAAGAAATGATTGTTTGTGTGTTTCAGAACCACACGAGAAGGAGATTTGCACAAGCGGTTGCATTGGTCCAAGAATGATTCGTCATTAATTTTAGAGAGAATTTTGAGATATTACTCCGTCGTTTGAGAAGGATATCAAAAGCAATATTGGAAGGAAACTTAATGAAGGGTTTGAGGCAAAAAATTTGAGCCACAATTCGTCTAGATTGGGGAAAATTATAGAATTAACGCAATTGGTTGAAAATAAAAGTGCAATGAAACAAGTTAATAGGAGCAACACAAGTGGAGTACCATACAGAAATGCTAGAACCACGGTGATACCAAAAACTCAAACAATGAGATTCTAAAGGGCGGATGCTCAGGACAGGAATAATGGGCCACAACTAGGGTTGACATTTAAACTCCTTGAGACAATGATTCAAGAGACAATAGTCAATGAGTTATGTTTCAGTGTGATGAAAAGTTTGCCCTAAGAGACCGTAGCAGGGATTGAAATTTGCAGGTTCTCACAGTATGTGACTAAGAGGAGGCAGGGGATGAAAAAACAGAGGTTGCACTAGAGGAGGAATACCCACACTTTGATGTGGAATAAGTCTCATTGAACTCGGTGGTGGAGTTAACACTGAACCACATGATGAAACATCATGGACAAACGAAGAGCGGGACATTGTAGTGTTGGTAGATAGCAGAGCCACCCACAACTTCATCTCCACTGAAGTAGTGAAGGAACTGGGGCTTGAGAAGGTTGGCACATAAAGATTTGGAGTAATGATGGGGACGAGATTGGCGGAGAAGAGCAAGGGAGTTTATAAAGGGGAAACTTTGACACTGCAAGATATTCAAGTGATGGATGATTTTTTTTCCTTAGATTTAGGGAACACTGTTGTGATATTGGTTATGAAATGATTGCAATCTTTAGAGGAGGCAAAGATGAATTAGATACTCCTAACAATGGAGTTTTAAGAGGGAGAAAAGACAGTGGTTCTTCACGGTAACCCTAGTTGTGCAAGACTTTGGTGACATTCAAGATCATAGTTAGGGCAATTCAAAACACGGAGATGGAATTCTTGATCAAGTTCCATTGCATGAAAGAGACGCATGATATAGAGTTGACAGAGATTTCGACACTGATCCAACAACTCTTACAATAATTTACAGGAGCTTTTTAGTTACCATGCAAATTATCATCTTGGAGGGAACATGGGCATACCATAATCCCGAGACCAGTATTTCTTCCATCAGTGTGCGCCCATACCTCTACCCCCAAGTGAAGAAAGACGAGATCAAGAGATTGATTTTGTAGATGTTGGAGGTTGGATCATACAGCTTAGTAGAGCCCCTTCTTTAACTCTGTTTTGTTAGTCAAGAAAAATGGGAGTTGGCGTTTTTATGTGGAATATCAAAAATAATACCTGACAAATTTCTCATCCTTGTGATTGATGAGCTATTGCACAAGTTATTTGGGGTTGCAGTATTCTCAAAGATTGACTTGAAGTCAGGATACCATCAAATTCGAATATGGCCAAAAATTTTGCACAAGATTACATTTTGAACTGATAAGGGTCGCTACGAATTTTTGGTTATGCCATTCAAGCTCACTAAAACCCCGTCTATATTTCAATCACTATTGTGTAAGTTATTTCATTCTTTTCTCTGAAACCTTCTATTGGTGTTCTTTAACAATATCTGGTGTACAACCGTTCTAGGAACACGACATTGATCATTTGAAGAATTAGTTGACGATACTCGATCAGCACTAACTCTACGTTGAGGAGCTGTTCAATTTGCTAAAAATAAAATTGAATGTAGAGTACTATGATTACAACATATTTGAAATACATTCAAGTTGTCTAGTTCACTGTAAAATAAATGTAAGACTTAATATAATTTCTTTTGTTTGGTCTGAAGTAGATTGAAAACTATGTATTTCAAAATATATTTTTTTGTCCAACGAAAGCAGGGGGCGGGAGTGGGCAGTAGGCAAAGGGGACGGGGGGCTACGGACTAGTGGCGGAAGGCAAGTGGTGGTGGGGCGAACAGAGACGGGGGTGGCGGATTACCAATAACATTTTACATGAGCGATATAATTCATATTCAGCCAAATCGACCGAACTCTAAATTTAGCCAAAAAGAACTATGGTGCAAACTTCAAATTCATTTCTACTTTACATTGTATTGTAATTCTTCATACCAAATACATAATTTTCTCAAATCCCAACAAAAAAATTACAGCACACCACAAATTCACTCAACCAAATAGCCCCCAACTTAAAGAAGTGTTCGCTTGCCTAACAAAAAGTGGAGTACTTAAGACATGTGGTGTCGGCGAATCCATTGAAGGTGGTGGCTATGCTGGATTGGTCACTACCTAAGACCTTGAATGGGTTGAGAAATTTTCTATGACTTACAAGATACTGTTTGAAATTCGTAAAGAATTAAAGTTTGATTACATGGCCATTAACGGAGCAAAAAAAGAAGAATTTTCAGTGGGGGGAAACGACGAACTAAACTTTTGAGAAGTTAAAAAAGGCAATGACGAGTGTACCAGTGATGACATTACCTGACTTCATTCAACCATTCATTGTAGAGATCGATGCTTCGGGCTAAGGGTTAGGTGCTATCCTTATGCAGTGTCAAATACCCATCGTTATATCATTCAAGTGCATCATTCAAGTGCTGACGACGAGGACCATACTTATGTTAGTTTATGAGAGGGAGCTCATGACAATTGTGCTTGCTATTAAAAAATAGCGACCTTATTTGCTAGAACAATGCATGGAAACTGAGGAACATCAAAGGTGTCTATCTAAGCTATCGAAGACCGACTTTAAGATCTAGTATTGCTCGGGATTAAAAAAAAGACATTTAATGTATTATCACGACGAATGTAAGAACCTTAATTGTTGGCATTGTCAGTTTTTTTTTTGTTTTATATTGGGAGGTCCTGAGACAAGAAAGTGAGGATGATTATGAATTGAGCAAGATTCGATAGAGACGCTGGGCTTGTCGCGACCATGCAGGAGCGGGGGTCTCCCGTAGCGGGATCGCGGGAGCGGGAACTCTCGCTGGTGAACCGACCAGCTCAATTGAAGCCGTATGAGAATCCTTATGGGAGAGCAGCCTCCAGTGCCCCCATCCCGTACCATTTCTGCATCCCGCTCGATCGAGTGGCCATTTAGGAATTGCGGCATTGCCGCCAATCCTTTTCCTCTCCTTCCTTTTCCATGGTTTCCTTATGGGAGCTATCCTTTTTTCTTTTTCCCCTATGTGAGTCTTAAATTGTTGTTTTTTTGGATTTAGGGTTTAGTTTTTCATGTGTGTTGATTTCATATTCTAGTGTGGAGTTCTTTTTTCCCTTTGTAAGTTGTATCTGAGGACGTGGTGTTCTGGTTGTATCCTACTCTGAGGTGGTGATTGTATCCCTTCCCTACTT